ACCTGTAAGGTCAAGGCTGCAGTGAGCCGTGTTTGCTCCACTACACTCAAGCCTGGGTGACAAAGTGAGACCCTGTCTCAGAACAAAACAAGAAACAAAAACACCCCAAACCATATTCAGTGCCAAATGCTAACGCCCAAATAGATTGTATAAATAAGAACATACAGGCCGGGCAAGGTAGCGCACCTCTGTAATCCCAGCACTTTAAGGAGGCGGAGGTGGGTGGATCACTTGAGGTCAGGAGTTCGAGACCAGCCTGGCCAACATGGCGAAACCCCGTCTCTACTAAAAATACAAAAAATTAGCCAGGTGTGTTAGTGCATTCCTGTAATCCTGGCTACTTGGGAGGCTGAGGCAGGAGAATAGCTTGAGCCTAGGAGGCGGAAGTTGCAGTGAGCTGAGATCGCGCCACTACACTCCAGCCTGGGCAACAGAGCAAGACTCCATCTCAACAACAACAACAACAACAAAAAAATATATATATATATATACACATTTATATATGTCTTCACCATTTACTCTTTGGTCTGTGTTTTAACAACGTTGAATCTACCCAGCAGCTGCTTCTAGGACTAAACGAATAAATGACATTTCTGATATCACAATGATTAAACACTGTTCTAAAACAATGGAATAACATCTGTGAAAAGGGGAAGAGTAAAAAAATAAGACAATGGAATGTATATAAAATAGAACTACAGAAATGAAAGGCAGAAGTGAACCAAAGTAACCAATGTAAAAAACAAGTCAGGAGAAGAGAATAAAACATATATTTCTTCAAGGCTTATTTCAATTCTTATGAAGCCTCCAATTCCCACAAGCTTAAAACACATATTTAATTTTAAAAAATAACTTTTTCCAATTGAATAGTAACACATGTATCTAAATATAAAGATAGCTACAAAATATATGTTTTATTATTTTAAGAAAAAAGTATAAGCTCACTGGAGAAAATTTAGAATATAAGAAAAATAATTCTATCCCTCACAGTAAACTACTGTTTAACCATTTAAAAGCCTAGCTCTCAGAAAGGATTTTTACCAACTGCTAAAAGAATTGGAGGGAAAGAAAAACTTGCCGATATGCCTAAATGAACGTTCAAAGTTTCACCTTTCTTTTTAGAGTTAGAAAGTCACATTTTACCTACAGGAATGAATATATTTGGTTATAGGTGGGGCTGGTTCAAGAGTCACAAAAGCCGCACAGGTAATAAACACCTGTTTTCCCATGGGGAGGTTCAATAAAATTATTTTCAACTAGGAAAACAGGTTTTAGCTTTACCTGTTGAGGCAAATATTTGAGCTGTACACTGCAGGTTAATGAATGCTACTGGAGAAGTAACATAAAGAAGTCTGGAGGGAGGGAACCACCACCCATTGTCCTAACAATGCATGTTTCTATTGCTTTCTTGTCTTGAAGGCATATATATCGCCCAAATGGACTAAGTTCTGACCAAAGTTCTACTTTAGGCTAGGCACTGCACTAGCTCCCACTTCTCTAAGTTGTTATATCTGTGGAATTTGATGGGACACCCAGTTCACAAAGTAATAAAAATCATAATGTATACAAGCCTCTTTAAGATTACCTTACTGTTTCTTGTTTTAGTTTCATATACATAATAAACTGGCAGCTCTGCTTCGGAGATGTTACACATCAGCAACTAACCTATTAATAAATGCAATTTGGCAATATGTATAAGCCCTTAAAAATGGGTGGAAGAAAAACCCAGAAGTAATCACTATCCAAAAAATATGTCTCCTTTCAACACATAGAAAAATTATTTTTGAGAGGACTAGGGCAATCGGTGGCTTTAGTGGCCTGTAATGCCCAGCCTATTGGAAGGCTGAGCGCACTGAGAATTGCTTGAAAACTCGTGGGTGGCGGGGTTGCAGTGAGCTTGACACTGCCACACTGCACTCAGCCTGGGCACAACAAAGCCAGAACTCTGTCTCAAAAAAAAAAAAAAAAGAAAAAAGAATGAATAAGAAAGATTATTTTGAGCTGTAGGCAATTAGGAAGTAGCAAATAGAAGAAAAGCTCTCTCTATTCCCCTCTTTTTCTGCCTAAAGGTAAGGATACAAAACAACTCTACAGACTTAATAGCCCAGAGACAGCAACCAGAAGGAGTCTGCAACAAAACCTTACTCCATTTAGTTTCCTTCCCAAATATTTACTTTCCAGTTCTTTTTTTTTTTTTTTTTTGAGACGGAGTCTCGCTCTGCCCGCCCAGGCTTGGAGTGCAGTGGCCGGGATCTCAGCTCACCTGCAAGCCTCCGCCTCCCGGGGTTCACGCCATTCTCTCTGCCTCAGCATCCCGAGTAGCTGGGACTCAGGGCGCCCGCCATCTCGCCGGCTAGTTTTTTGTATTTTTTTAGTAGAGACGGGGTTTCACCGCGTGTTCGCCAGGATGGGTCCTCAATCTCCTGACCTCTGATCCTGCCCCATCTCGGCCTCACCAAAGTCGTGGATTACACGGCTTGAGCCACCGCTGCCCCGGCCACTTTCCCCCAGTTTTTCTTTATCCCTTTCGAAAGCCTAAAATCTCTTTCCTATGTTCTGCCCTTTTTCCACAAATGTATTGTTCTTTGTTGAAGATGCTACATAAGCCAGAGTTCTGAGCCACTGCTTTGAGTTACTTTGCACTGAGGTTTCTCCCACGCCACATACATTAAACTTGCTTTTCCCTTGTTCATCTATCTTTTTTTTTTTTATTTGGCAATATGTAAATAGCCTTAAAATGTGTGAAGAAAACCAGAACGTATCACTCCAAAATATGCCTCTTTCACATAGAAATTATTTTTGAGAGGCCAGGCATGGTGGCTTATGCCTGTAATCCCAGCTACTTGGGAGGCTGAGGCACTAGAATTGCTTGAACCTGGGTGGCGGAGGTTGCAGTGAGCTGACACTGC